ACTGCTGGGGTGGGCATTGAGAGCACCCAGAACTAGGCAACCCTGGGGGGGGTTTAAACCTGAGACACTCCCTGCTCTGGGCTCAGTGACATTTCAGCACCCAGGTGGCAGGGTGGGCAATGCACTGCTGTAACTGCTGCTGAGCTTGTGTGAATGTTTGTGTTCTTGGGCACCCGAATTTGCAATGCCTCCACTGTTCAGAGCAATGCCTAATAAATAAACTGTGGTTTGTGTCTCTTAACACTTGTCATTTCTGTAAAATAACACTCTGCTCTGAGCTGAGGTCAGGGGCCAAGGTGACTGTGGTGAGCAGCAAGAGGGTTAATTTGCCTCATTGCAGGGATTGCTGCAGCCAGAGCTGACTCCCTGCAGGGCTGAAGCTGCTCCCTGCAGCAGCTGTAGACAAAACACCCCCGTGCTCAGAAGAATTAAGCTCTCACCTAAACTTTTGCTCACAGCCCGTGACTGGGGAACACCTGCACCAGCACTCTGCTTTCCCACATTCATGACAAGGTCTGATGCATTTTGGGAGCAGTGGACAACATCTTCAAAGCCTGTGGAAGCAGAGGGAGCTCCTGCATCCCCTAAGGCAGACCTCTGCTGGAGCAATTGCAGGAACCCCACCACAAAGCTGCAGTGCCAGCAGGATTTAAGCTACCAACTCAAAACTCCACTGGATTAATGAACATATGGTGCTTAAAACAAGTTTCTTTTTCTTTTGCTTTTCAACTCCTGTGCCCCAGACAGAGCAGCCAACACTGCTACTGGGTTCTCTACTTCGAATGGCAAACGCTGACACAAACACTTCAGGAAAGCCTCGTTGCTGTGCATGGAGAAGCAATACGACAAACAAAAAACGCTTGAAGTTTTACTTTTCCATCTTACTTTATTTCACTTTTTCTAGAAAATTCCTCCATAGTTCCACAAATTTAACAAAAAGTTTAAAATTCAGGACAAACAATCCTGTAACGTATTACAAACATGTTTTTGTGTGGTTTTTTTTTTCTTTTTTTAATCTTGAAGTTAGTCTTGGGCCAGCTGAATTTCTTACAGCTGAGTGAAGAATTCATTTCCCAACACAACTTTTAAAATCCTCAAGTGACAAGGTATTTAATACCTCGGCTCTAGGCAGAAATACAATTAAAAATTATCTAGAAGTTGAAGTACTTACATTTTTTTTTCCTTTAGGAGTGCAAACTCATCTTGTCAGTTTTTGATGGCTATTTCCCGCCCCCAGGAAAGCAAATACCGATCGATTTTCATCCTTTAAGCAGTAACGCTCGTACAAGGTGCACAACGGTCGCCTGCAACATTGACGCAAGCACCGGGGCCGCAGGGAGAATTTCGGCCGAGCCGCCTGCCCGTGCTCCAGTGCATTCGCCACCACGACGGCTGAAATTTGCAGAACCAGAGCGACTCGGGTCTCTGCTCACAGAGAACGCGCCAGGGCAAGCTCCGTAAGGGACTTTTAAACCTCTCTCACCATCAAATACGTTCAAGATCTGACAAAAACTGCTTCTGGATTGTTGCATCAATTGCTTTTTGCTAGTTCTGACGCTGCCACCACACACAGCAATAGAAGGAACCGGTGGCAAAATCATTGCACTTCCATGAGTTCAGCCTGACCACAGCACAGCCAGTCCTGTCACCTGTGTCCAATGCTCCTCAGCTGCTGGTCTGCGAGCCAGCCAGCTGCACTAGCCTCTTTTTATTTTAGTATTTATTTTTTTTAATAGTAAATGTCAGTAATCAAAGCCTCAAGGCTTAATACGTACGCAGACCAAGACAACAGGAAAATAACTCCTGCCCCCTCTCTTTTGCCCTTTAATACCAAGGCCAAGGACAAAGGAAAAGCTGTGTCCTGATCTCAACTCCACCACGATTCCATTCAAAGCAACTCCAAAAGCCTTCAGACCGACCAGCGCGTTCGTGCCCTCAGTCACGAGGTGAAGGACACTGAAAAGGAACAGAGTTCTGTCCATTTTCCTTGGAAAAAACCATTATGGCTAGAAGTCAATTTTGGATTTTTTTTTCTTTTTTTTCTTTTTAAACAACGCAAGCTACTACACATCCTCGAAGATCTGAAGCAATGCTGAGAGCAGCACCACCACCTCCTTCCTAGAGTACAATAATCCATCCATGCTCTCAAGAGTGACACAAGAACAAACACTTTACCCACGAATACCTGTACACGGCATGTCCAGAACAGCATTCAGCCAGCCTACAGGGAACTACACAGGGAACTCGGCCATCTGGAACTAAAGGGGACACAAGATGAGGCCCAAATTCAACCGTTCTTTGCTTGCAGTCATCCCTCCTGTGGTCCCCGACGCTACCACATATCCCAAAAAACAACAACTCTGTAGAACAACTAAGTACTTGCAAGAAACCTTTTAGGAACACATCAGCATGTGCACACACTGGAAGAGAACTATTGCTGGGGGAACAATCCTAGTTCAGGTTTTCAAGGAGATTATAAACAGTCTAAAAAAATCCATGTGTAAAATACTTCTTATAAAAACCAAACAAAATTCCTATCAATGCTCATTAGACTTCACAAATAAAGTCGGTTCCAGGACAGGACGATGCCACAGCCGCAGGCCCCAGGCACTTCCAGCCAGGTTCAAGAACACCCTCCCACGTGTGTTCCTGGACAGGCTGGGAGCAGCGCAACCCTTCAGACCTCAACACGAGAAGGGGACAGAAGGGAGGTGGCACCTCCGATTGCTCAGTGGGTGACTGGATGCTCTGACAGTCCCAGGAGAACGCTGCCAGGATGGGTCACGCAGTGGCTGTGGGAGTCAATTACCCCGGCGGAGAGAGGAGGCAAAGACCTTGTGAGATCTCAGCCTGGCTACTGCTGCTGCTCCTATTGCTTTGGGAACAGGACAGCGTCACCAGCGTCACCCTTCACTGGGGACAGCGGGCAGGAGGCCAAGACTGGGGCTGTAGTGACCGCACAAGGCTTTGCCTCCTCCGTGCCACAGACCCCCCAGGGACCCCACCATGGTGCATCCCAGGGCAGGACTACAGCTCCTCCTCTTCCCGCCGTCCTCTGCCTTCTCAGTGTAAATTTGTGCACAGGGTTTCTATCCAGGCTTGGCATTGTCCATCGAGAAAGAAAACAGCTGAGATCACTGTCATGACAGGGTTTGCACCTGGCATGAGCTTGAGTTTGTTTTTTTTTTATATATATATATATACACACAGACACAAGACACATGAAAGATGGTACAAAGACAAAATTAATGGGAATCGGGTCAACATGACCCAACTCAAACAAGCTTATCATCATATTGCCACTTAAGTTGATTAGTTGCAACATTTCCATGATAAAGAAAGGGGTAACCCAGAACAAGGGACTGCAATTTCATACCGGAGAAGGGCCAGCAAACCCTGGAGCGACGCCGCCCCCAGCTCCCACAGGGGCTTCCACTGATCAGGGTGGTCTGTTCACAAGCAGGGGGCTCCTCTGGATCGCTGCTCTCCTCCTCGCTGCCTGCAGCCCACTTAACATTTGGCAAAAGCTTACACACCGATTGGAAAAATCAGAGCAGTTCTTCAGAAAAAATACTGAATTTAAGGAACAGGAGTGTAACACAGTTCTGATGTAAGCTACGGGGCTTTCCTGGCACCCACCGAGACGCCACTGGGAAGTCAATACTAGTTTAACTAGAAATATAGGAACGATTCTGGATTAGTGTTTTACTGTTTCCTGCCATTTCTTGAACAGGCAGCAGGGCGGAAGTGGGAGGAGGAAACAAACCTGACTTCGCTTGGTTTCGACATCAGCGTTTTCCAGGCATGTCCCAAGCTAAAATTCTCCCTTGTTTTGGTTTTCCTAAAGTACAGCCACTACTATAGGGGCCACTGTAGGAGATTCCTCTTTGAGAACACAGAACAAAACCAATCGCGTATTTTGGCAAAGTTTTAAACACTGACAAATGAAACGACAACAGGTGAGTCCCTTCCAGAGCACAAAATGCTTTGAAGATTGCTGTTCAGCTTTCATACACTGAAAATTGTCCACAAGAGGCATTTTAACAAACGAGTCAAACCTTATTAAGCGCCCTTCCCCTGCCATAGCCATTAGAAAACAGAACAGAAAAAACACACCCTTAAGATCTTAAGACCCAACTAGGCCCTTCTTATACATACAGTACATACATATATATAATATATATATAAAATATACAGCTTACAGTTTTGGAGTCCTATTACAGTTAAAGCAGACTGAAAGGAGTGAGACTTTGTTTAGGAGCTCAGATCAACAAACACGATATCTCCAAACCCCAGCGGGAGTCAGCAGATTTTGGAGGCCTCTTCACAGAGCACCGGCTGTCTCCGCGGGAAGCTGAAGGTCCTGCGTGCGCAGCGATGCCCTGGAGGAATTGGGAGCCAAATTACAGCAGTGCTCTGTACCGAACCGCGGCAGAACCAACTTGCAAGTGATCCAGACTGGACTCGGTCCGTTTTCCGCTGCAGCAGACCAGCAGGAGCCCTGGGAAGCCTCCTCTGTCCCCAGTCTCGGCTAGCTTTGTAAAAGCCAATCTCGCTGCTTCTTCCCAGAGCGGGAGGGAACGGGACTCGCTGGAGCTCTCCACGGGCAGGCTGGTCCCTAGATTTGGTGAAGCAAACATCGTCCACACTTCTTCAGATCTCAGAGACGCCTGAAAACGTGCTCTCAAAACACAGTTGCTTGAAGTAAAACCGAAAAGGTCACACTGCGCAGTTAAGCGCAGCACGGCTTTTGCTCTACTCGGGACCTGTGCCCAAGCGTACTGATGAAGCTGGGGAGGACACACTCAGCAATACGGGTGCTTGTTTGAAGCCTACAAGAAAGTGCAGCTGGGCTGTGCATTCATAGAGCATGGCTGTTCTCTAAGGCAGTGCTTCGGGTGAATCAAGAGAGTAAGAAGGCCTAGTTCCATGGGTTCGTTTCCTGGTACCAATAAAGGGGGTTTCTGGTTTCAAAAGCAGCCTGCTTTGAAGGCCAAGCGTCATGTTGCTACCGCTTCCAAGTAGCTCTGCAGCTTACGGACGGTTGTCTCATCCAAGGAGAAGAGGTCAAAGTCAAAGGTTGTGTTGGTGACGTTAAAATGCCCGGTTTCCTCTATGAGATTGACAATCTGGACAGAAAGGAGACAAGCAAGGATGTATACAGAGACCCCACACAGATTAAGTACGGCAGATACAACCCCATCCAGTCCTTTTCTCATCCCTTTAGCTCCAGGGATGAGAATGTCTTACAAAACGAAGGGAAACCTCTCCCAAAAAAGCAAACCAGCTCCTCCTGCATGCCTGACCAGCTCAGTCTGGACAGTGGGGTGGGCACATCTCTTTCCTTTTAAATTAGACTGAGAGTACCCAGCCTCGGGGCTGCCACCAGGACAGTAAAGGAAAGTTGCACAAGCCACACTTCTGCATCTTTTAAAAAAAAAACAACAAAAACAGCGCATGCACATCTGATTTTTTTTCTACATATCTTTGCTTTCAAAGTGAACCAGACTCTCACAAAGAGGGAAGCGAGAGGTGAAGCATCACAGGGGACCAGCTTAGACCCTCAGACACAGATTACCAGAGTACCACAGCCTGCAGAAAGCTGACAGATGATCTCTACCTGCTGTAGCACATTGCGCTCTCGTAGTGCCATTAGTCGCCTGTGAAGCTCCACTAATTCATCAGTGTAGGCCTGTAAAGGAGCATGAACAGAAGCAGTGATATAGGTGGCATGTTTGTACAACCGCCAAAGCGAGGATCAGAGGAATGTGAGGCCCGTGTTCCTATTCCCAGTTTTTACCCTAACTTTTTTACTGCCTCCTCCATCCTTATTGAGGACTGAGAGACTAAAGCCTTCACAAATACAGATGGCCTGAAGACCACCAGCAAGACTATTTAATGACACCATTAAACAAACACTTGTAACCAGCTTTAAGAAGCGGTCAGAACCTTTGAGCTTAGAGCACCTCAGTAAGGTGAAGTTCACCAAGGTCTGAGTTCTTCATCAGTGGGTTGTACCAATAAACTACTCATTACCTGAAAATACCTGTGCAGCGACCAGCACCCCAGCAATTTGTGTTCAGCTAACGAAGAATTCTTGGAGTGCACTGTATTCCCAGGTAGCTTTACATACACAGCTGTGGGAAATGCTCAACATGTTAACTGTGTTTATATAAGGGCAGTTTGGTTCTTTCCTTTTTTTTAAAGAGAAACCACAGTCACACAGAGAAAAGTGTTTTTCCCAAAGCACCCAACCGGTACCAAATGCAACCCTGGCTGGGAGAGGTACAATCTTTGATAAAGCCTCTGAAAGGTGGAAAAGCTGATGGTATTTCAGGCACTCTCTTCACTGGGTCTCCAGGGCGTCTCCTTCTGCCCGTACTAAGTGGTCTAATAAAAGACACCATTGCCCACAAACCTGGCCTCAGACAAGCCACCTCAGCTATGTTTACAGTGGAAGATTTTGTAGCTAGCAGGAGACTCAGATGCAAGCATCTCCAAGATCACACCTAACATTAATGTTCTCCTGTTGAAAAAGTGTTAAAAACAAAAATGAGAGCTACCGACCGATTCTTTGATTATGTAAGGGCCTCAGTGATTAGACTAAGTAAGAAGCTCCCACTTGATTGATTTCTTTACAAACAAATCACAGTTGGAGAACCTTGTAGACAACTTGGGCTTGGCTCTTTACTTGCAAGTCTGCTGTGCTTTAGGAGCATATGCACTGCTCTGCTTTGCCTGGAGGCAAGAAAGGAGGGAATTTAATTGAATAAACAAAGATTTCAAATAAACCAGCAAAGCAGAGCATCAAGCAACCTTTACTTCGTAAGATAAGAGACAGATGAAAGCTTCTTTTGAATGAAGAGGCACTTGCCACTGGTTCAAACAAAGGGCAAACAAATAAAACAATTTTAAACTTTTATATATGGAAATGAGCTGGGGGTCCATCTATTTAACATACACAATTTCTGCAGTGTCACTCTCCAGTCTGTCCTTTCAACATCTGGTTTTCATTATACTCAAGCTTTTAACCTGCCAAGACAGAACAATGTGAACAGGCTGGGCCGATTCACATTGTTTTCTACACAGAAATGTTTGTAAGCATCCAACAGTTCCACAATACACAAATCCTCAGACGTACCTTGTCATACGTTCCCTTCTTCAGGATCTTCTCTGGCTTGTTACAAGACTCTGGGCTTTTTCTTCCAGATGCCTGAGGGTACGAGAAATCAACATGAGGGACCAAAATTAATTCAGAAAATACAGCACTTGAGCAGCTTGGATGCACAGCACTGAACAGAGAGCATTACCTGTCTGATGAAGAGAGTGAAATAGGGGAAATTTGGTGCAAGTCAGAACCAGCACCACGGGCTGAACACAGCGTGGGAACCAAGAGTGGTGGAAACCAGCATTGTATGGGCATGGGAGATGCGGTACCTTATTATTTGCCGGGGGCAGCTTCTGACCAGGAGGTGGCTCTCGACTGGGCAGGCAGGAATCTGCGCTGTTGTCACTGTCGCTGTCACTAAGGCTCAGTCTGAAAACGAAGCAGCAGAGAATGAGCATCACCAGGTACCAGGAAACTTACCGAGTGTAAGTGAAATTCTCTTCTTTATTACAGCCTACTAAACCATCTGGGAGAAATGGTCTGTAATTCCCAAGAATCCCTTTTTAGCCATCTTTCATTCCCAGGGCAGGCAGAGCAGGGAGGTTCAGTTCAGTTCACACATTACAGGTTCTGCTCTTTCACACACCAGTCCCCTTGAAACAACCCAGGCAGTACCACCTGATTTTCACAAACGGCAACTGTTCATTTAGAGGATTCATTCCAAAATCCCCAAGTACCTGCATGAGAGGCTTACCAACACCTCTGAGAACACAGGAAAAAAACAACCACCATAGAGATTTCCTACCTATTTTCATTCTTCTTGTGGCCCTACAGGTGTATTATAACAGGTATCCTACTTCTGATGAGCTTGAAAGACTGGTCATTACCTCTCTCCTAAAGGTCTAAAAAAATATCCCTCAAAGTCTCTCAATTCCTGTTTAGTTGCTAATGACAGAGTGCAACAATGGGTTTTTTGTTTGTTTTCAGTGAACACAAGCATCATTTGAAATTTGCAGCTGCTATCTGGGCCAAGCATATGGTTTCAGATATTCAGGCTGAGATTCCAGGTTTTAGCTACAACAGGAGGATAAGAGGGAGAAGGATGAAATTCAACCATTTCCATTGACAAAGCAGGAAACAGCTGCTAACCAATGCCCACAGCAGTCAAATAACCAGCTGTGAGCACACACAGACCAAGGCTTCCCGGCTTTCTTTCAGCCACACGTAGTAAGAGCGGCACACAGGCCAACAGCCTCCACAACGCTTCTCTAATCTCTGCAGATCAAAGGTGCCACACACCACTTGGCTCGGCAGAGATCTGAAGATGACAATTAGGTGACTATTTTGAGGGGCTCAGTTACGCAACACATTCCCCAGTGGCTTCCTCCCTTTGAGCTCCGGTGATGTCTCCTCATCCAACTCTGTTCTCACCCTGCTGTTTTCATCAACTGTGTCCTCACCCCATGTGAAGCACTCCACACATCCGTCCTTTCTCTCCTCACGCTTTCCTCTCCTCCCCATCACTTTGATTCCTCCCCGCAAACGGAGGGCACACAGAAATACCAGACACGGAGGGA